TCAATATATCATACTTATCAGTCCGAGCAGCGTTTATTTATTTATAAACTACTATTTGGGTTTATAGTAGATGGGCTAAAACACCCACAGCTGGGTTAACATTGGATGGGTTGAAACACACACATGCAAGTTGCTGATATTAGATGGGCTGGAACACCCACAGGTGAGTTGATAGTGGATGGGTTAAAACATCAAGTTTACATTCAGTGAGCTGAAACACCCCTAGATGCAAAGGTATAACCATTACAACATCAGATATTGTTTCCCTTTATTAGAATCACCAACACATTTCAAGAGAAATACTTAACACCTCAAATTAAGGGTACATACATTCTCATCAAAACACATTATTTACTATGCCATGTATTTATAGAATTTATATATATATTTTACAGACAGTGACAATTTTGAATGATCTAGGTACAGTGTGTGATGAACAGCAAAAATTTGATGATGCATACGAGTATCTACAACAAGCTGTCAGCTTAGCTGAGAAGGTGTCCCACTCTGATGTGCCACGACTGCTATGTAACATGGGGTCAATACAGATGCACAGAGGTAAAATACAATGCACATTTCATTCACTCAATATAATTTACTCATTGTTTCTGAAGGATTTTCCATATTAACTTTAACAAGTCAACAATAGTAACAAAAATATTACCAAAAAATATTTTCAACCATTTAATTCAAACTATTTCATATTTTTGTTTTTAATGTTTTTGTGCCCGGCAACAGTTCTGGATATTGAATGTCACTGTTGTCTCTCCTGACTTTTTTTTTGTATGTAAATTGCAAGTGCTAGTGCTGACACACAGTGCGTTTTTGCCACAGAAGCCATATTCATGTTTGGAACTACATGACAGGGCTGTGTGTGGCCATCTCTCTATCAAATGGCGCTATGCTATCCTGGCGTCAACCAGGGTCGGTCGAACACAAGCCGACCTTAACCAAGGTTCCCCCAAAGTCACATTTGTTAGTGTCTGTGTCTGTGGCACACTCACCCAGGGTACGAGTCAACCCTTTTTGGTGTTCAGCCTGAGGTAGGCTTTGAACTTGGGTCTAACAATCACAAGTTTGATGTAACAACCACTATGCTACCAGTGACCGGTTTCATTTCATAGTTTAGTAACGTAAACTTTCCACACATACATACCATACAAACAATTAATTGAGACAATAAAACACATTAGTATTTATTGCTGTTTTCTGTGTCAGTACAGTATAATGTACAGTGATACAAAGTTTTGAATAATTTGAACTTATGAGTTGTTTATAAGTTGGTACACCACTCCAGGTACGGTATTTCATTATTCTCATTTGCATCTAAATCGAGATTTATTTCCCTTATAGGTAACTGTGATGACTCAAAGGAGTGTTACAGTAATGCTATGAAGCAGGCAGTGAAAGACGAAGATGTCGAAACTATAAATTACATTAATGATAGTTTAATGGTTTTAGAAAAGTCAAAAAAGAAAAAATGATGTATTTTTAATAAATGGCATTTTTTGTAGAGATAGTGGGGCTTTTCTAGCATGTTTCTTAAAATGGAGTACATCAGGTTCTAGAGGGTTAATAATGTTAAGCAATTATTGTCATCAGCTACAAAATGTTTCAAGGCGTATGTAGTCATTAATTTAGGGTAATTTATCTCAATATTGTGTAATGAAGGGAAAATACCTGATGTATACAAACATGCAGATTAAAAAATCCATCCATCCATTCAATTTAATTAAATCTTCTAAATGTGAATCTGACTTTGTATGTATTTGGATATGTGAACCACCACCCCGGTGTTAGATAAAGTTATTTAACACTGAATGCTTACGATACTGATGTCCTGTCAGTATCTGTTTCTCAATGATAATTAATCTAGTTTTGCATAATTTCGACCGAACTACAACCGCTTTGATTTTGCAAAAGACAAATCTTGTTTGAATGAAATCAATTCAGGCATGCCTGAAATATTTGAGATGTTCAAATGTAGATAAAAGCTCAAGAGAATAAAAAAACTTGCCCATTATGAATTGTCTTTGTAACAACTTTGAGCAAACTTGGTCAAAGCAAGAAATCAACATGGCTGTCAATTATTTTGCATCAAATCATAAAACAAATGTGCATCACATTTGTGAAGATGGTCACTTTATTACTTGTATTATGTGAAATAGCATAAGAAAATGTCAGGTACCCAGTCAGAGACAAACAAGAGACTGTTTCATTTGTGCATCACATTTTATTACAAATTCCTCAGGAACCACATGATTCTGTACAGACACACACACTGACATTAGTACAACATTACCTCCCATGTGACACACAGGAAAAAAAAACCAAACAAACAAGTAGACAAAGATATGTTTCATAGTTGATGAATGGAACAATATGTATATATACCAGGTAAGAATGTCAAAGTTCACCATACAACAGGTATTGGTGACGTCACCATTCTGTGATTGGATTATCCAGTAAATCATCATCTTTCTTCTCGTCCTTCATGTATTTCTCTTGTACTGATGGTGCTGTAAACCAAAGTTAAGGTAATATAATACAAGAATGTAATGCATTTGCTTTTATTTTCGTGTGATTATAATTTCACACCCGAAAAGAATAGTTACTTTAAAACACGTCTTTTTAGCTAGTACGATATTTTAGCTAATTTTTACTTTCACTAATTCAAGATGTTGCTAATTTAAAGTAAAGTATATTCTCACAATGTTGGCACTTTAGCAAAATGAAGATTTTGTTAATTCTTGCATTAAGTCAAATTTGCGAAAATGGGATGAAGCTATTTCAACATGTTTTATAATACTACAGATGCTTCTAAATAAAACGGAAATAAATGTTCTGAATTACATATGCAGATATGTTGTAATACTTTGTAATACATTAACTTTACTAAATAATTGCAGAGCTAAATTACCCATGAATACAAATGGTAAATGCACTTATGTAAATTATGCACAGTGATGTGTTACTGTAAAGGGGGTAATTATTCACTGGGTTTTAATTTAGCTTATTTCGCTGACTGGAAAAATGCGCTAAATTAAAACACAGTGAATATGTAAAATTTAGCATAGAACACATTATCTAAATGACGAAACCGTGAATTTAAAACCCACTGAATATGCCCGAAATGGTAAATCAGTGAAATTTAAACCCAGTGAAAATTAGTCATTTTACAGTATTTTCCTGGGGAGAATTTCTCGTACATAATGGTCCCACACCAGTGTTAAACGGCCCATAGTAGCACATGTAATTTGCAGGAAATAAATGCCCAAAATGAGATATACCATGTTTCAGTGAGTTCCTGACATCCTAGTGACCCATTCGAAAACTTGGTCAGAGATGCCATGTTTCACCATCCGATCAGGTGCTTCATCCAGCTTTTTTCCTATAATATAATAAGCCAGTTATGAACACATTAGAAATGAGGGTGCACTCTATTGACCAGATCACTCAAAAACAAGTGAATCCAAAAACACTGGGCCAAGAAAACTACTGTATTGAAAAACAAAAGGATATTGAAAATACTGAAAGTCGGCACCAAGGGCAGTAGACATCAATGACTGTAAATTCCTTTCTTCCAAGTCCCCAAACACATAACCATTTGCCTTGTCTACAGTCTTAAGAACCTGAAGCATGGTATCCTTGTCCTGAAATAAACATAGTTACAAAAAACCAGGAAGTTAGTCATGCCAATATTTGCATGGTATTTAATATAAATGTTGATGAATCTGATATTATACGATTCTATCTTGTGGGCAGGGTTTAAATTAACCATTTGTTCATTTCCTTACTATAAGACTATGTGCCAAAATGTTGTGTGCAGAATACTTGAATCTCTTCTCTGACAAAAGGTGGTGAAAGTTAAAAGGCGATGGTTGCCTTGGTATGTTGCTACGAGTCCTATATCAAACACACAAACTAAGGTGTAATAAAAAAACTCACCTGCACACTCAAGCTGATGAAAGATACCAAACTGTAATCTTGAATAACATCTACAATTGTCTTATTCAGTTTATGAAATTTTCTTGTAAATGGATCTTTATCTAAATAGTCTACCAGATAAGATAAATCTAATACCTCGCTGTAGTAATCTAGGTTGAATGCTGATAAAATAAACAGAGGCGTTGTGTTTACAACTTACTGACTTCTTGTAAACAGATGTAACATAACAGTGTTCTCCCCAACAAGTCACAGGTAAACACAAGCTGAAACTGATGATACTGCACAGCAGCTCCTGTGCATACTGCATTTCAATCCCTACCCAGACAATTAAATTACAGTGTTGGTTATTATGTAAATCCATTAAAGTGTTGATCACCTGTTTTGTACCATATTAGATATGCTAATGGCATGGATTGAAATGAAAAATTTTTCCCCGCATGCATAGTGTGCATGTTGAATTTGAAATTTACCTGCACTAACTTGTTGTGAAATGCACCATTTTTAAAGTTTAAATAAAATTTACAGGTTCTCGATTGATGCAATCACAAAAGAATTTGATTTTTTTTAGTTGTCTCACAATGTTGGTTGAATTTAATTTAGGCTTAGTGAATATAATGAGAAAATGTTGTGTTAATTTCTACATGCACAGCGTGCACATTATATTTTGAGTTTACTTGCACGAGCTAATAATCTATGTGCATAGTGCAGTGTGCACCAGGGTATTTCGATCCCTGTAATGGTCAATACTGTTTCTGAAAAAATTAAATTTAATTGTTATATGCTTTGAGGATAACACTGAAGAGTAAGTTAGAAAAAGAAAGGAATATGAGATTATGAGGCCAATTCACATTCCTAGAACTACTGCACACTACCTTTTAGTAATCAATTTGAATCACATACGTCTAATAACTTCTTATTTTTGTTTAAACACAATGAGCGTCCTCTTACCTAGTTTTCCAAACTGCTCCAGTAGATCCACTTTAGAGAGCACATTGACATGTGGCATTGCCATTTGTAGCATTGCAGACAGTGAGGTCAGTAAGACTGAGATGAACTTAGAAGGATCACTACAGTAATGCGAGTCTACAAGATGTACAGCTGTCAACTGAAATAGACCAATGTAGTAAGTTTAATTAATAATACATTAATGGTCAGAGATTAATTAAAAATTTGTAACATAACATAATTTATTTTAATTATCTTGATATACATGGTTCGCTGCATTAGACTGGATATAACTTTTATTACATGCATTGTTTATATGATATTTGAACACAGTGTTTTCTCTGAACAGTGGAGTAACAGGAATGTATTGCACCCTTGCAGTCTTTGAGTGATATCTATCAACTTGTCTTTCAATTACATATATAACTTGGTAGCATTAATATAATAACACTACAGTAACTGAAATAATACACACAGACAGCCAGTATTAAACTGCGCAGTTTCCTACGCATATGTTCTGTATCGCAAGAATCATCGACTGCATTTCTTTCTTACTGTCACTTTGCTACAAAAACTTGGAGAGAACACTGCCAACACATACTGTGTGTGAATACAGTACCTTTACCCTGTAACTATTATACATATACTACTATACATAGTACATGTAACCTTGTATAATAAAGTTGCATGTCTCCCACTCACAACAAACCAAATGAGAGAAGACTTGAGAGAAGACTTTGGATTTATCTGTAACTATAGATACATGGTGGTATCATGACGTTAACATTGCTATCTGGCACTGGCTTCCATTCACCAAGTAAAGCCAGTAGATGCATCATCTAACATGATAGAAAAAATAGGCAAAAAAAGCGATCATGTACTAAAAAAAAAGTGAAATCAATAAGACACACTAAAATCAATCTCTTTGTCAGTTACTCTTATTTATACTTGCCCTGTAATTAAACTTCTCTAGCATGGAGCTGATATTTCGCATGGCTGCATTGTGTGTATAAAGTTCAACTTGTCCCGGACAGTCAAATAAAACATATTGATCTTTTGTGTGAATTGCAAGTTGTTTCTGCAACCAATCCGAATTTTTTTCAAGGTATTCCATGCAATAGATCAGTCCCCCATTGGGTCCCAGTTTCAGATTGTCCATGACATCGTTGAGTGTTATCAAAGTAGACAGATTCACAGCGGGCTCGTAAGGCAGTACATCGTTGGCTGGATCAAGGTTGACAATTGCAACGTTTCGACCAATCCCTTCTAAGAACTGTTTCATAGCAGCACAGTAGGTTGTTTTACCTGCCCCTGGTGGGCCGATCACAAATTGTCCAAACGGCATAGTTGGATCAGTCGGTTTGTCATAAAACAGACATTATGAATCTAAAGTTTTAAAGAACAAGGTAGAAATACAGGTATTTATTTAATGCATTGTGCAATAACTTTATAAACAATACATGTCCAAAACAAGTAAGAAATGACGCATAACTAATTGTGCTGCCAGTAATTACTGGTGCATCATTGACGCAACAGAAAATCGTATGTTGATATAGTGATCTTGAAAAACATCTTACATTATAGTTATAGAATTTAAAATTTGGTAAAATGAAATTCAAATAAACAAAATATGTGTAAGGGACAACGTCAAAATATAGGATGCAACACTTAATTATAGAATATTTATCATCGACATAAACTTTACCTAATTTTCAGGAATAATACAAAACCATGTTTTTATCATAATAAAAAAAATGTCATGATTAGTTTAACGTTTAATGAGTGTGTAATATAAACAAAATAAAAAAACACAATAATAATAGTAACTTAGTAAATTTTTTTTTGAACACCGACCTCCCCAACAGTCAATTTGGAAGATTCCATTTTGACACATGGTATAAGTCTGTACACTCATGCTAAAAAAATATGAATTACTCATTTCAGAGATGATACTATATCGATCATAGTCTTAAAAAGGCAATGTGGATAAAATTGGGTTTATAAATATAGTAAGATATATCGCAAATAAAAAATGTGTAAAGGTGTAATTTGATATGTATGAGCACACTAGAGTTTTTGTTATATTATCAAATGAATACTCCCATGATAGCTACTGATACAACTTACTTTGTTTTTTGCATGATAAATGATCCTCTATTTGTTTGATTGAGATAACACAACACTCCAAAAATAATTATTGCAATTTCTTCTCTTCTATGTTTTTGTGGCATTTTGTGGTCCCAAAAAACCCTGCCCATGCAGCTGGCATTACAGTGCAACAACCACCAAGTTCAGTGCCATAACGTCTATTATTTACCAGGGACGAAAGGCCAACACATCTAGAAGTTTTTAAATTCTGTTTTTAATTTAGGTATATCTGTTCAAGAGAAACGTCAGTTCATCTCAATAAACAGACCACACACAGTCAAAAGTATAGGTAGATAATAGATGGTTATAGATGTCAAAAGAAGTTGTGAGTGTTGATGAATTCGGTAACGACCAGGATAGTTACATGGCCACTAAATCATTTGAATAGGTAATAAATAGAGTGTAGGGTGCTGATAAGTACAACACACTACGATCAAAAACAAGTCAGATAAGTAAAACAAGTTTAAAATTAGTTCGTAAACCTACGACGTACAGCGCAGTAGTGAGCGACAGAACCACAGCTCGCGAAAGTTAGCTGGCTTGTTCGTCGGATACTACATGTTGCCTACATATTACATACCTACTGTTGTTGTTGTTG